CTGAAGTTCAGACACCATGGGGAGTTTCTCCCAAGAGGCTACCTAGCACATCCATGGTGCTCTCAACAACAATATGAGAAAGTATTGATTGGATGAAGAAAAAATATCCTAATGTCAATGGGCTATTTAAACAAGGTAGTGCTTGGCCACTGACTGACTGGAAATGTTCTTGATAGACTCCTTTGGTTCAAAAGAACTTTTTTATATCATGTGGGGATTTATCATAAAGATGCATCTGCCGAGAAATCTAGAAAATGCCAATCAACCAGGTCTCATGGAGAAGAGGGACCTTTTTGTTCTAGGACTTGTCACAGGACACTGGCTAGCTTAAGGTTTGTTGGTTCTTAGGTCAATCACTCAGCCCTGATCCAATCACCATGGTATAAAGTGGGCTACCAAGGAGTGCTCTTTAAGTGGGAGCTATGAGCCAGAGTTGTCCCTAGAAAGGGCTCTGGTATGGTATCTGATCAACATGACAAGTATATGGATGAGGAGATGGATGGATGGACAGGCAGACAGGAACATTTTGTCCTCAGAAAGGTAAAGAACAATTGATTAGGGAAAGAGAGAAACTTAATGTGGGTTGAACAACTGAGCAAAGAGAGAACTGTATTTGCATGATGGAATATTTCAATGAGGTCTGACTTCAACCCAGGGATGCCCTCAACTTGTCACTGTACTCACAAGCTGGGAGCTAGCTGAGGTCAAACCTCTTATTAACATTTTGATTTTCCTCCCCAACATAATGCTGTGGGTAAACTAGGCTTTTTCTAGAAATGCTGTCACTATTAGGAGAGATCACTTTAGACCTTTTTGGGGTTTTTGCTCTTCAGTGTTTATACTCAACTAAATAAGTTTTTTTTTTTTAAAAGAAACAATCAAGGCTTATCTAGAAGGCTAAATGCACACAGAAATCATGAGTAACCAAAATGATCTCTAATGTATTTGATCAGATCACCCATCTCTAGGCAGAATGTTCATTTTTCTTAATTTGAAATGAGACCACAACTTTGACTAATCTCCCAGTTTACAAATTATTCCTGGATGGTCTTATGTAGGTAGTGTGGCATGGAAGCAGAGTCCACTGCAGTAGCACTAGGTATATTATCGCTCTGTTTCCCAAACTAGTATGTTTGGAGCATAACTTGAAAGAGACTGACTTGTTAGAAAACTTTTTTTTTTTTTTTACCATGCTGCACCATCACATGTGGGATGTAGTTCCCTGACCAGGGATGGAAACCACATCCCCTGTGGTGGAAGCTCAGAGTCTCAACCACTGGTCCGCCAAGGAATTCCAGAAAACTTCCTTTTTACTATACGTATTTGATACATTTCATTCTCTAATTCACTTTTCAAAGATCAACAGCATTATAATATTCTCTTAGATAAACAGTCATTTGCAATCTCCATTTCTGATTTCTTGCTTTTCGGTGGGGAGGGAGTGGAACTTTATCACCTCTTAGCACACTGTATAATTGTTTTCTATTGTTTGTCTCCCCTTACTACATGAAGCTCTTTGTTGCTGTTCAGTCACTCAGTTATGTCTGACTCTTTGTGACCCCATGAATTGCAGCATACCAGGCTTCCCTGTCCTTCACGATCTCCTGGAGCTTGCTCAAACTCATGTCCGTTGTCTTGGAGATGCCATCCAACCATCTCGCCCTCTGTCATCCTCTTCTCCTCCTGCCTTCAATATTTCCCAGCATCAGGATCTTTTCTGATGCTCTTCGCATCAGGCAGTCAAAGTATTGGGGCTTCAGTTTCATCATCAGTCCTCCCAATGAATATTCAGGACTGATTTCCTTTAGAATTGACTGGTTTGATCTCCTTGCAGTCCAAGGGACTCTCAAGTCTTCTCCAACACCACAGTTCAAAACATCAGTTCTTTGGCTCCCAGCTGTCTTTACGGTCCAACTCTTACATCCATGCATGACTACTGGAAAAACCATAGCTTTGACTAGACAGACCTTTGTCAGCAAAGTAATGTCTCTGCTTTTTAATATACTGTCTAGGCTTGCCATAGCTTTTCTTCCAAGGAGAAAGAACTTTTTAATTTCATGACTACAGTCACCATCTGCAGTGATTTTGGAGACCAAGAAAATAGTCTGTCACTGGTTCTTTGAGAAAGAAAGCTCTTTGAGCGCAAAACCCTTTTTTAATATGTTTTGTTCACTGATTAGTAGTGAAACTGATTAGTAGTGAAACTGATTAGCACTATTAGCATTGGCTAATAGTGCCTAGAATTTGAATGTGGAAGGCACTCAAATACTTGTTAAAAGAATTTGCAAATGGGTTATCATTGGTATTTCCTTTATGGTTATCTTCCATTTTGCAGTGAAAGGGCCTAACTCTTCTCTGAACTTTTGTACCTTGTTTTTTCTCTCTTTCTGGCTAAATCTTACCTATCCTTCAGGGTCTTCCTTGGTGGCTCGGACAGTAAAGAATCTGCCTGAAGTGCAGGAGACCCAGGTTTAACCCCTGGGTCAGGAAGATCCCCTGGAGAAGGGAATGGCTGCCCACTCCAGTATTTTGGCCTGGAGAATTCCATGCAGAGAGGATCCTGGAGGGCTATAAGTCCATGGGATCACAAAGACTCAGACACAACTGAGTGACTAATACTTACCTATCCTTCAAGCAACAAAATCAATACATTGTTGTAAGGCAGCAATTACATGCAAGACACTGTTTGAGCACACAAATCAACTTTCAAAAGCAATGCACCACCTGTTTCTTAAAAACTGGAGGCTTTAAATGCCATTCATCACAAACTAAACACACTAATATTCATTTACACTAAAAGTCATCCATACCATAATTACATTTTCATAATATTGGAATGATTCAAGCATCCTGCTAAAATTGGATTAGCTAGACAGTACTTTAGAGCAGACGTGAAATGCTGGAAAGGCTGTTATGAATCTTTTCCAATGATTCTGGTTCTGAACTCCCTGTTGGACAACTTTGTTGAGTCTTATTTTTATTCTTGCATGAATCCATTTAATTCACTCATACATCTAATAATTATTAAACACCAGCTGTCATGTGGGTTCTTCAGTAGCTCAAACAGTAAAGAATCTGCCTGCTATGCAGGAGATCCCTGCTATGCAGGAGATCCCTGCTATGCAGTTCAATCCCTGGGTCAGGAAGATCCCCTGGAGAAGGGAATGGCAACCCACTCCAGTAGTCTTGCCTGGAGAATTCCAGGGACAGAGTCTGGAGGGTTCCAGTCCATGGGGTTGCAAAGAGTCAGACACAACTGAGTGACTTTTACTTTTTTCACTTTTTCTGTCATGTACCATTCAATAACAGGCAAGTCCTATAGAAAATCTTTTTCATTGCTGGCACAAGGCAATTTTTTTCTTGTTGAAAGACTATAATATAATCTTCACAAAAGTAGGTCTCGTTAAAAAAAAAAAAGGTCTTGTTTATCAATATTCTCAACAACAACAGTATCTGATCCATGGTAAATGCTCAAAATGCTCTAGTGCACAACCTGACAGTCAACATACTGAACACACAAGCCTATCCACAACCCTTCTGGGAGCATTGATCTAACTGTGCCAGAGCCAGGAGGCTTGCGTTTAAACTGTGGTAGGCAGGCTTCTAGAATGGCTCTCCAAGATGCCCCACTCTAATTCTTCAGACTGTGAATATGAGACACTACATCTGTGATGTTACATTACCCAGAAAAAGGGATTTGCAGATATAATTAAAGTTGTAATCAGTTGACTTAAAGTTAAAACAAAGGAAAATTATTATGGCAAAACTAATACACACCCTTTAAAAGCAGTTTGTTTGGCTTGCAGCAGAAAAGTAAGTCAGATCCCAAGAATGAGGGTTCAATGTACCATTGCTAGCTTGAAAAGGGAGGAGACCATAGCCTCCTCAAGAAATGTGGGTGGCTTTTAGAAGCTCAGAGTGGCTGATGAGAACCAGCAAGGTATCAGGAACTTCAGTCTTAGAACTGAAAGGATCTGAATTCTACCAACTGAATGAGCCTGGATGTAGGTTCTTCGCCTGGAGACTCCAGACAAGAGCCCAGTCACAAATTGATTGCAGCCTGTGAGACCCCAGGCAGGGAACTCAGTCAAGCTTTCCTAGCCTTCTGACCTACAGAACTATAAGATAACACAGAAGTGACTTTAAGCTGTTAAATTTGTTAAACAGCAACAGAAAATGAATACAATCATTGAAGGAGTCTTTTGGGCCTAGAAAAGAGAACAACAGTCTCAAAGGCCCCTTGCTGAATCATCTAACTTCGGAGAAAACAAAGCATAACTTTAGTTCCATCCTGATGCTCCAGGCCAGTTGCATCTATCTGGGACTTATCACCCCCTGTCCGGAAACCTACCACCCCCTACACCTGCCCAGAAGACTTATCACTCCCTGCCCAACTACAAGTGTCATCTCAACAAAAGAATACTCAAAATATCCCGCCTGATTGACGTTTCCCTTATCGCTTCCACAAACCTCCCTATAAGTATGAAGCCTCCCTGATCCCTTTTGGTGCTCAGCCTGGTTGTTAGGCCAACTGTCGCCCCTCCTTGCCTGAATAAAGGTAACCTACTTCTGCTGAGGTCGTCTTTCCTTTTCTGCCTCGCCATAACTGTGCCTTACAATCATCCTGTACTAGAAGTCCATCATGTAAGCCGTCTTCTACTTTTCCATTTTCTGAATTTGTTTTCCTTTTCACTGTCCACAGAAACATTATCCAGGAAAATACTTCCACCCAACAATAGTTTTTGCATATAAAAATAAGGTACTAAGAGAGTTTCCTTGGATACTATCCAGGCCATATTACTGCCCTTTAACTTACGAGCAATAAACTTAGAGATAAATAAGAGATAAAACCATCAATGACCAAAAAGGTCTACACTGATGTCAATAAATTTATAAAATTCAAAAAGGTACAATATAAATCAAATTACGTATTGAAATTGTATTCAAATACTCTTACAAGAACTTACTGTCTCAACTGGGAAAACAATCAAATAAATATGTACACTGAGTCAGAAAATTATTTTAATAGTTACAAAACATTTTTTTTTACAGAATCAGTATAAAATAGCAGTTGATTTCTCCATAATTATCAGAATTATTTATATGTGAGGTCTTGGCTAAGTGGGGCTGAAATCAACAAAAGGTCTTGGACTGTTGGCTCAGAAATCTTCCTGGGAAGCCCACCATGTTGATGTCTGTCATGCTTGACTCTTTATGAGATGACTCAGTCCATCTTAAAAAAAAAAGTATCTTTTTATTCATTCTTTGGAGGCTTGAAGTGAACTCGGCAGCGTTCATTAAACACCTAAGACATGTGAACAGAAACAAAGGTCACTGAGTCATCCTGTATAAATTAGACCTGAAATTTCGGTTGAATATAACCTTCTCTGGGGTTTCCCTAATAGTTCAGATGGTAAAGAATCTGCCTGCAATGCAGCAGACCCCAGTTCAATTCCTGGGTGGGGAAGATCCACTGAAGAAGGGATAGGCTACCCACTCCAATATTCTTGGGCTTCTCTTGTGGCTCACCTGATAAAGAATCCAACTGTAATGCAGGAGACCTGGGTTCGATCCCTGGGTTGGGAAGATCCCCTGAAGAAGAGAAAGGCTACCCACTCCAGTATTCGGGCCTGGAGAAGTCCATGGACTGTATAGTTGGTGGGGTCACAAAGAGTCAGACACGACTGAGTGACTTTCACTTCACTTCATAATCTTCTTTGCCCCAAGTCAACAGGTTTAGGAAACAGAGGTGTTTCCTCACCAATTCAAACTGACTTACTAGGCATTAAGAGCACAGTGCCTAGTCTAGAAAAGACCCTGATGCTGGGAAAGATTGAAGGCGGAAGAAGAGAATGACAGCATGAGATGGTTGGATGGCATCACTGACTTGATGGACATGAGTTTGAGTAAACTCTGGGAGTTGGTGATGGACAGGGAAGCCTGGCGTGCTGCAGTCCATGGGGTTGCAAAGAGTTGGATACGACTGAGAGACTGAACTGAACTGAAGAGCACAGAATGCCTTGATATTCATTTATAATATAATTTTCATTATTTTAATAAAATTTAAATTATTCAAGGACAAAAATCATCACAAGTTAGCTTACTTAGTAACTCACAGCAAGGTCCCGTTTATTATATGGACTGTGTTAAATCAAAATTTTGGTACAGCCATTTGATGGAATATAAAACAAGCATAAAAAAAGAATAAGAAAGCTCTTTACATCCTAATTTGAAAAGATCTCCAAGATATATTAAGAAAAATACACTTCCATTTGTCTGATAAGAAAATATATGTATATGTGTGTACACATACAAACAAAATTTTAAAGTTACAAATATCTGAAAGCATATACATCCTTTCAGAGGAAAGGGAAAGGAGGTGGTAAAAATTAGAGAGGCATGAGAGTATAATTTTTATTGTATATCTTTTAATATTTTTTAAAAAATTAATCATGTGTCTAAAGAATTTTATATACAATTTAAAAAATTATAAAAATCTAAAACATTTTTTCTCAGAATTTACTCTCATACTTCACTGATGTAAGGAACAAACCATTTTTAGGTAAAAAAACAAACCAAAAAACCCACCAAAGAAACCAACCCATGTTGGCTAAAATGGACTAGCATAAAAATAAAAGAAAAATCTACGTAGGCTACTGGTATTCAATTTCTTAAACTGGGCAGTAGATACATGTTCATTTTACTAATATTCTTTACATTCGACATGTTACATGCTCTTTGGCATATGTATCTCACAATTAGAACATGAAGAAATTATATAGACTCTTTCTGGCCTTTTTGTCTTACCGCTCCTAGGTCTGACATATCCCTGGAGCTCCCAATGCTCGGACCAGAGGAGGCTTCAGATTAGTGGTTTTGACACACTGGTTGGGATGATGTACACAACCTGGTTGAGCCTCTCCAAATCCTTTTCCTAAATAACTTAACCATTTTTGCTGGCCTATTGCACCATGGCTACAATGTCTTCCCTTGAAAACAAATAGCCTCATTTTATGTAGAGTGGATGGAGCATATTTTCTTTTAAAGTAATACCAAATCCAAAAATGCTTCACTTTTCCTACTACATTTTACATACATCAATCCCTACACTGGGTTTTCCACACCAGATTTCATTGTACCCACCCTCATCCCATACCAAGAGTAAATATTATCTCTCCAGAGCTAGAAATGGACAAATTTTGCCAAAATCTTTCAAGGAGCAAACATCTTATCACATAGGTAGAAAGGGCAGAAATATGAAATTTTAGCAAAAAGTATAGGATAAATAAATGTGATAAAGCAAAGAAAGTCAATTTGTATTTTGCAGTTTATCCAGGGTTCTGCAAGTTGGTACACTCTAGTTTTTGGTTCTGTTGACCTCCGTCTGGATTCAGCCCAATTCCATCAGTTAATTTCAAAGGATAAAACAATTTTCAGTTCATTCTTTCAGATTTAATAGATTTTGCCCTTTGGAAATCTTTGAGTTTTAGAGAGGACATGTAAACATACTTTTCCAGAAAACTAAAAAGTCAGAATTTTGTGTTTTTTAACTACATTTAAAGTCCTAGGATCCTGGTCCCCCAGTCTAATTCCTAATTAGAATCATGTAGGCGGTAATAGGTCTTCCTTGGTAGATCAGTGGTAAAGAATCTGCCTGCAATGCAGGTGGCCCAAGTTCGATCCCTGGGTTGGGAAGATCCCCTGGAGGAGGGCATGGCACCCACTTCAGTATTCTTGCCTGGAGAATCCCATGGACAGAGGAGCCTGGCGGGCTATAGCCCATGGGATCACACAGAGCTGGACACAACTGAAGCAACTAAGCAGCAACAGCAGGTGGTAATAAGGAGCATGTGAATGAATCTAGGAGCCATAAAAAGCCAGATACCAGTGAAACTATATACAAAAAAAGGTTTCATGATCAGATATGTTAGAAAACAAGCAACTGTGAAGGGTAGTTAATGACATGAAAATTTATGGAAATAACTAATCACAGAAAGGCTAACTTAAATAACCTGACTGAAGGCTCTGAGTTAAGAACTAATAACTCTAAATATCAAATAGTCCATAATTAATAGTAGGAATTATACAGAATGTCTCCAATTCTGTTACCATGACAACCATACAATTCTACCATGAGACTGAAAGGCTACTTTTTTTTAATAAGATGGCTCTATTTGAATTCTAACCGCAACTCCCATCCCTCTAAAAAGTTAAAACCTTCAATTGCTTGTAAATGAAGGACCTTAATTCTTAAGTGCCCAAGGCACTCTTTACTCCCTCCTCCCTTGGTTTGTTTCCTTTTGCTAATTCTATTTCCCCTCCTAGTTCCCTCCAAGAATCAACATCATTTTATACCTTCCAGCTCCTGTCATTTACCACTTCTTCGACATTCAGTTCTGACTGCATCCATTTCAACTGCAAGAAAAGGAAAACAAAAATGAAGTTATGAAAATTTAAAGAACTAAAACCAAACTCTATAATATTTTCCTAACAAAACCAGCTGCTGCTCCTGCATTTTTTGTCAATACTTAGGCTAGATTTCAAAACCTTCCTTGATATTCTTGTATTTAACCAATTGTTAAATCTTATAAAGCCACAGTTCTCAAGCATTGCTGCATATTATTGACAGCTTAAAAAACAACTCAAAAGCTCAGGTAGTTCACAAAAGAAAAACAAATGGCCAATAAACCTATTTTTAAATGTACAATCTTACTTATGCAAAAAGAAATGCAAATTAAGTCATAACATGACCAAAAAAAATTTTTTAAGAAGAAATCTGATAATTCCTATAAAATCTAGTATTAGTGAGGGTATGGGGAAAGATACACTCACATATTTTTTTTGTAGGAGTACAAATTGTAACTTCTACAGAGAGCAATTTGGTAAGACTTAGCAAAAATGTAAATTCCCATGTCCTTTAACTCAGTAATTTCAGTTTGACTTATTGATCTACAACATAGATTTGCAAAGATAGCACAGAGAAACAAAACAAAAAAAGGACAAGGAGGTGGCAACCTGATTTGAATAAAAGAAAAAAGAAATAGGAAGAAAAACAGAGAAAGTGGATATAAAAGCCTCAAGTAACTGAGAAAGGGATGAATTTTCCATACCTTAACCATACAGCCAGAGGTCTGAGGCTAAAATGCTAAAAGTCTTTCTAACTTTCTTTTTAACTGCCAACCTAATAACTCCATCAGAAAAATAGCCAATCCCTCTGCCAGGTCCAGATGGCAGGACCCATCATACTCCTAGTTGCCTCTGCTCAAAGAGACTTGACAGGAAGGAAGCTAACTAGTTCCAAGAGGAGAACCTTCAAGTATTCAGGAAAATTAGCAGAAAACAGGAAAATTAGCAGAAAAAAAGTATGAACTACAGGTTGAGGCAGCCAAGAAGATAACAGCAGGATGATGTCCTCAGGCCAGGAGATTTAGGGGAAAAAATGCTGGAGAATTAGACAAGATTAGGGCAACAAAGAGGTGGGGACCCAGACCAAAGCACCTAACCACAAATTAGGAGTACAGTTCAGACAGGAGGTTTGAGAAATGTGCATCTAACATTAATAAGACTGGATGTGTACTGATTCAACGCTCCTTGTAAACTCCCTTCTTAGACTCAAAACCTGGTGTCAGGAGTATGCACCAGAATACACAATCAAACCACGACTAAGGAAGGACAGCGTGTCTGCTGTGCTGCAGAGCAGCGACAAGCCTGAGGAAGCCCACCTGCTTAACTGAGAACCTGTTTCAGATTTTAATCAGCTATATAGACAAAGAACTCAGTAAAGCTTCACTGCTCTGTCAAAGCCTGGATTTTCTGCCGAAGAAGTAACAACTTCAAAGAACAGTGTTAAAACAGGCCACTAAGACAGTGTTTATAACTGCTCTCAAATATTTAAACGGGTGTCCTGTAGAAATGGGTTTAGACTTATCCAGAGGGATGATTAAAGATCAGTAATTACATGTTACAAGGAGACAGATTCTCACAATAAAAAAATATCTGAACAATTACAGCTGTCCAAAAAGAGAATGCACTGACACATAAGATTATGCAATCCCCTCAATTCTCTTAACACTGGTTAAACATAAGGTAGAAACCACTGGTTGGGTGGATATTGTAGAAAGAATTAATGGAACGAATATGGAGTCCCAGAGGTTCAAAGAGGAAAGAATCTGCTACTTTATATCAGTCAATATGCTACCTCTTACATATATTATACAATTTGATCCTTACCCCCTAAAATAAAATAAAAGATATTAAGTATCAACTCCATTTTACAAGCTGAAATTCAGAAGTTTCAGATTAATTTACAAGATTACAAAACCTCCAAGTGGTAGATGGATTTCCTCAGAGCTATCTGCCTTTATAATCAATGTTTCTTCTATTCTTGAACATGGCAGACATTATAGCCAGCTTCTAATACAATTTCAGTGGCACCAACAAAATGCTACCTTTGAGATAGTTGTTTTTGAGGCTCTGGGTCTTACACAGGTAAAATTCCTCTCAAAGGCTATGAACAGGTGACAGCAGATATATAGTTCCAGCAAGGCTTTTTTGAGGTAAGGGTTAGGGTAAAGAACTGGGAACTTTCAGATTGGCATTGTATGCAAATAAACTATTTGACTATTAGTCACAACAAAAACACTGACTGAATTCAGAGTCGGAAGAGATGGATTCAAGTCCAGTCCCACTACTTACTAGTTTGTGACTTTGGGGAGGTCAGTATCTCTGAGTCTGTTTCCACATATAGAATATGATGAGGTAGAGCTGGAACATCTTTAAGAGCTGCCTCTTTCTGATTCCATAACCTTCATAGCAAACTTGAAGAAAAAATTCAAGCTTCCTTATTTGCTTAACCCACGGTTACCTTCTACTATAGTCCCATGCAATGTCACAGGCTAGAAAACTACCTTTCATAACTCACTGGCTGGTTTCCAAAACGCCTCCTAAGATGACCTTTACAGCCCAAGTTCACTGAAGAACCCATTGCTGACAAATGAATGAACAGGTGTGAAACACAGGGTTGAAGCAGTCATCATGAACAAAGGGCACAGTAAAGATAGTGGACGAATTCTGTATCCAGTGAGACATACTGCATCAGCAGGATGGCTAAGAAAGTACACACACTCACCTGTGTGCAGCAAAAGACAAGATTTGAGAGAGACAGCAAGGTCCCCTTTGCAAAATTTGGCTACATCCACTAACCAAAGAGCAAACTTCACAACTTGTTCAGTATGAAAACATGATTCTATCTCACACTGGATTTTCAGTTACCCGACATGCAAGGAGGACCAGTAAGTCACTTATTATGCCATCTTAAAATGCAGACAGGATTTTGGTAATTATACAGTGGTCATGTTAAGAGAAGGGCTTCTCTGGTGGCTCAGTGGTAAAGAATCTGCCTGCAATGCAGGAGACTCAGGTTTGATCTATAGATTGGGAAGACGCCCTGGAGGAGGGCATGGCAACCCACTCTAGTACTCTTGCCTGGAGAATTCCATGGACAGAGGAGCCTGGCAGGCTACAGTCCATGGGGTCACAGAGTTGGGACATGACTGAAGGACTAAGCAGCAGCAACAGCATGTAAGAGAAAGCCCCTGTTCTCAGGGAATAACCAACATACGTAGGGGTGAAAGAGTATAATGTGCCCAGTATATTCTCAAAATGGTAAGAAAAAAATTGTGTATGGAGGGAGGGGGAGGAAGACAGGGAAAAAGGAAGGGAAGGAGGAAAGGGTAGGAAGGGTGGAGAGAATGAATTGTAAAGCAGGTGGAGCAAAATGTAAACAAAAGGTGAATATAGGTAAAGGGTACATGGGAGTTCCTTGTACTATTTGTGCAGCTTTTCTGAGAGTTTGAAATTGTATCAGAATAAAAAGTGACCCCTTGAGCTATTCCCTCACCAAAAGACAGTAATGCAGCCTAGAAAATAAAACATGGTATACATTTCCACCTTTTTCTTGACATGCCACATTTAAGGGCTATAAAGAAATAGCTCTGCCTCATTAACTCCACCCTGAAGTCCACACTCATCTACATTATAGCTGACTTTAGAAAATAAGGCTTCCTCTGACATATCACTCAGTGGACGTTTATTGTTTTCCTAAAAGGGAAAATGGCAGGGATGGGAGATGAAATAGAAACAAAGGAGTCTAAAAAGAGTCAAAGACCCATACCATTTTTTCCATAGCAAAGAAATAAATGTAAGGAGGCTCTAGGGTACCTGCTGTACTGTACTATATTTTTATGGCTGAAGAGGGTAATATCCTGAAGTTAAACATCTATATTACATTTAGCAGGTTTCTACAGATGAAGCCAGAGGTAAATATTTTTAAACTGTAAATATATTTTTAAAATGTTTCTTCTCAATTCAGGACTCAGATGTGATTTCTACAGATATTTTAACATGGTGTTGATCTGTATTAATCCTTATATCTTTAACTGTAGAATATATAAATGAATGGAAATAACATGATTACATGCTTTTTTAGCTTAAGCTGCTACATACAATCATGAAATGTACATTAATTAACCAATTAACACTGAAGTGCAATAAAATAAAACCCATTAAGAATGAAGTACTAATCTCCTGGTCATTTTAAGTAATAAGCATATCTTACTCTGGATTTTTCACGTTAAAAACTGTTTTATTTTGAAGGCTAAGTTTGGAAATCTTGCCTTAGAAATGTAACCTTATTCAACTTACCTTTGTCTGTTCTTTTCTAAGTTGCTTTAATAACGTTAAATCATCCAAATTCTTTTCTCTCTCTTCTCGGAGCTGTTTTACTACTGATGAGGTCTGAGCTATACAGTTTTTTATGACTCTGTCCCTGCTGGCATGGGCCTCCATCAACTAAAAGAACAAAGAAAGAAACAGGAAAAAAAAAAAAGATAAAATCACACCAATTTGTCACATTTCAGTATTTTTTAATTTTAGACTACAGAAATGTAAGACTTTCTAAAATAATTTTTAAACATTGAGTCTATGGAAGAGAAGTGTGTGCTGAATGAGCCAGATCAAAGGTGGGAGCTGTGAGGGTGGAAGTGAGAGGCTGGGCTGTCCTCTTCCTCACTGTGCTCCCAGGCCTCCTTGCCTCTCTCCCCACGCTCCTCCTGCTGGGCTTCTCATCAGTCTCCTCCTCTCCGAACCCCTTCCTCTCCCATTACTGCATCTGTGTGCTCACCTACCCTATACCGACTCTCACACACTTTCTGAGCCACTTACTGCTGCTCTTTCTTTTTGTCCTTTCATTTTTTCCCCCAGCCTCATGTTGTCAACAAGTGCAAAAAGTTATGAAGTAAGTGATGTAGAAAAGTCTTTAGTTACAATAAAGAAAAACAAAAGAATGCTACATTTACCTATGTCAGACAGAACTCTTTTCAGGATTTTTAAAGTATCAACCAGGAAAAACTGTAAATGAAGTAGAGATTATTGATTCCATCAATTGTGCTAACAGTGGTTCACCTCCAACTAAAATTTAAATGCTGGCTTGCTCCATGTAATCACGTTATATCATTCCTTTTTCAGTCCAAAGGGAGAATACCTTAATGCTATGCTAGTGACAGTTGTAATAGAAATAACCTAACCATTATATACATCTTAAATACATAAAATATAGGACTGACAACTATTCTATAAGCAGTCTTCATAAGTTATTTGAAATAGATCTCTTAAATGATTATATTGGAACCCTGTGATTAAGAACTACTGGTCTAATAGATATCAGGAAAGAATAAATCTTTATATTTCTAGACAGTAATACTAAAAGTACATTACTTATAAGTTGTACTCATGTAAAAGGAATTGCCTAATAGACATTAATCCCAACTTTAGTAAATTTCTCTTAATATGCTAATTCTTTTCATTATAACATTTAGGATTTGCAAGGACAGCCTCAAGGCCCATATTTACTAGCTGGTATGCTACATCTGTTACTTATTAACTCCTTCAGGTATAATTACAGAAAATTAAAAGAGGCATTGAGGGTACAGAACTATTCTCCCCCAGACAGAATACCGTCAGAGTTAAGAAACTCCCTGAGGTTGTGTGAGACTGGCTAAATAATGAGCATTCCCAGGCTTCAGTTCCCTCTTTTGTAAAATTATGAATTATGAGTAAATAATTGCTAATACCCCTTTCCACCTCTAAAATTTAGAGGCAGCATGACTCAATATATTGCTCAGATGCTAAATGCTATTTAATTATTTTGATAGTTTGTCTAACTCTGCCAGCAACTGATCAAACAGCATTAGCATCAACTAGAACTCTAACACAATATTCTCATTTTTCTGTCTACATCTTAAAATCAAATGCAAGTTGTATACATTTTGTTAAATATTCAATAATTCTCTTTTGGTCTCTCACCAGTCTCCTTCCTCAGTTGGGCTTTCCTCCACTGTTCCCCTCCTTAACTTGGCACCTTCCCTGTGGATACATTTCTGGATGCTGACTATGCTCCTACCCTCACCTGCTTACTTATCCTTCATATTAGACCCTCTTGTGAACCCACAACCATGTAAACAGGAATGACTGGGTATATCATCTTTTACTCAGTATATTCAATTATATTTTCAAGATCATCCTTCAATAAGATTCAAACCTAAGAGCATATGCAAGAGGAACATGCATGGACTTCTATACATGTAAGTTGAAGAAATGAGGACACCTGATAAGAGTAATAGTTGGTGTGACATAAGCCTACCAGAGGAAAAAATAACACAAAACCAGGTTTATTGGCTCATCAGTATCAGATGCTTGAGGATTTGGTCACATGAGAATTATTTCTGATACATAAAGTGTTTATCAAAGGAACTGAGATATTTATTAAGAAACTCAGTATGGTAAAACTGTGGTTAGAGGAGAAAAATCCTGAAGGATAACCATATAATAACCATACTTCCTTTGATTTGGGGAAAGCAATTTTGAAATGAAGACATTTGGGGTAGGGCAGGAGAATGATTCAAAACGAGTCTAAAGTGGGTATACCTAGAACTTCCCAGTTTTATTTTATTTTACCACAGCTTTGAGAACTTCTTTCAGTCTAAAATTTTCATCTTTTTTTTTTTTTAGGCTGCACAGCTTGCCAGATCTTTGTTCCCTGACCAGGGATTGAACATGTACCCTTGGTAGGACAATTTATCTGTGGCTTTTCCTTCTCTCCTGCCAAATGTTTCTTTTCCCCTTCCTGATGAGTAAGGGAAGAAAGAGGATACAGAAAGTGCGAAGGGTTTTAATTCTTCCTTATTTCAGCTGTCTAGCTTTTCCAACACTGATTCATTCAAAGACCCCACTTTTACCTCACTGTTTTACTTGACTGTTTCATTCTCTCCTGTTTTCTTTGATGTATAAGGTTTCCTTAAGTTAGAGTCTGCCCACAAGGGGAGACTGTTTTCATTTCTTAGAACCATATCTCCCCATTTCTTAGAACCATATCTTCCCAGACTATTGCTTAAGGTCACACATTTTCTTTAGTCTGTAGAAACTGGATCAAAACTTTTACACACCTTCAGGTGTGGGCAAGAAAACGTGAAGATTCCATTCTTTTTCCATAGTTTAATTATATGTCAATTGATTTCTTATTTTGCCTGCAAAGAAAGACATAAAGGAAGCACAAAAGACTCAAAAGATACACTTACTGACTCATAAAGTTGTTTACAGGTTTGGCTGGCATCAATTTTCCCTGCAAAGGAAGCTGTTGGAACCGTAGTGTTTAATTCATGTACTATTCTGTCATCAATCGTCCTCATGACCTTGAGTAATTCCTATATAATATTTAAAATAAAAGAATAATAATTTGAATGGAAAGTTAAGTGATAAGACCAGGTAAGCAAAAATAAATAATTAAAGCTCTTGGATATGTTACAACACTGTATATTAGGAGTGGGGAAACCATGCTATATACAGTATAACCATAGAAAAATATTTATTAATAAAGACTGATAGGTAGGTTAGGTAATAGTAATTCTAACACTTGGCACAACTCTGTTTCCTTGGCCCAAATGTGACTGTCTTAAGTGTAAAGATTTTTTTATTCATTTGTAAACCCCATTTGCTGGCACATGGTGCATAACACAACTGTGTGTTCTTTCTATTTCTAGCATACAGCCAAAAGGGATTCTACTGAACTTGATTACTTCAACTTGTCCAAAACAATCCAACATAACTGCTTGCTCTATTATTCTGTCTATCTCTCTAAAATGTGGTACTAGATAGAAAACTTCTAGAAAGATATATAAGAAACCATCAGCAGTGATTAACATGCAGAAATTAATCTATACTCTCTTAGGCATCCCCCTGCCTTTAAGGCTTTTTGTTTTTTAGTCTTTTACTATGAGTACGTATAACAAAAAAAAGTACACTGCTAGAAAAGTCTTTGTGGTTTTTTTGTTCATAGAACAAGAAATTAGCTTTACCTTTTCTCAGTTACCCAGGTTCACATTTCCCAAGGATCTCTCCCCTCTAAAAGAGGCTCCAACTCTCCTCAAAATAAAAATATCAAAAGGGCAGGGGACTAAGAAAGACTCTAATGAGTACTCCAACCCTGTATAGTCCCTTCTCCCCACATTCTGATTAGGGTACTTCTTCTCACTTGTCACTAGAGAAGGCTGAGCATCAGCTACCTCCTGACTCCAGATAATATAAGTTCTAGAAAGTTTCTAGTATATACCCTTTTCTTTCCCTTTTAATCCACTCCCACCTCACCCCAGCCACACAAAACAATCACTGAAAATCATCAAGAAAACAGAAGTGTATAATACTAGGACTCCTATTTACTGAAAACATCTAACAAGTTAACATTTAATATTAATGTGTATTAAACCATTTTTGCTTGATTCTCTACCTCCTTCAATATATGAAGCTACTTCTTTGCCAAACTTAAATCCAGGATTAAAATCAACTTCATTTCTTCCATCCATTTATTTATTTATTGGGCATAATAAAAATGACAGCTTTTCATCTGAAAATTGGCATGAGTATAAATTTTATACATTATTTAACCATACAATTGTGACAACTTATTTTTTATTATAGTTGATTTAACAATATTATACTAATTTCAAAAATATAATGTATTGATTCAGTATTTTTATAATTTTATTAAATTTAAAGTTATAAAATATTGGCTATATTCCCTTTGCTGTATCATCCATTTGTTAAAATAAGCTCTTATTATGACTAAAGAATTAATTACATAATTTTAGAAAATTAGAAAAAAATTTAAAGAGAATAGAATTATCCATTGTTAACCATTATTTAGTTTTTTCTATACATATCTGCAAATATTTTTATAAAAATGTGGCATTATATAACATTTAAAAGTTCTACTTTATGAAATTATACCATGAGCATTTGCCCTTGCGACCTTGAAGACATGTTTAATACACACATAAATATTCCATTCAGTGGGGGTATCACAACTTATTTGACCAGCCTATTATTCTTTAATTAGTAGTTTAATATCCTTTTCCAGAATCCAATTTTGAAGTAAAACAGCTTGTAGAAGGCTCATAATTTAGACTAATAAAAACAGGCAAATGTCAGGTCTAAAACTAACTTCACTATCTTATCACCTCTTCTTGTATCCTTCTATTTTGGTCAACGGTATCAAGATTCTCTGTAATCTGGAATTCTTAGGGGATAATCTCAACATACTAACTAAGCAAGCATCACATTAAGTAATGTCTTATACACAGCAGAGGATATATAATGTCAGTAAGTGGCAAATTCCAAACAAACAGTGGCAGCACTATTTAGAGAGGCAAAAACTAGTTAAGTAGTAGACAGGAACCTTCCTGGCAAACTTTACCTCCCACAACTTGCCTATTAAAACAAAAAAACCTTTAAACTCTCTTCTTTCCTCCTGTCTAAATCAAACTGATCCTGAGACCAAAGTTTATACCTTCCAGATAAAGCTTTCCTTGGATAAGAGTCCTCAGCAATCTTTCTTCTTCAAACATACGAAGCAATTAGAGAGAGAGAGCACAGAGTTCGTTCATTAACTCACTCTTTCTTCAAAAAATATTTACTAATGTCTAGCAGCAGCAGCAGTACATGTTAAACACCATTCTAAACACTATGGCTACAATGATGAGTAAAACAGAAGAGGTCCTTGCTCTTATGGAGCAAAATTCTCATGGGGGAGACAGACAATAAACGAGTATCCCGACAAACAAGACACTTTCAGCGCAGAAAAGTACTGCAAAACAGAAAACTGTAGTAATGAGATGAACAGTGGGGTTGAGGGGCTAATACATTATACAGGGAGATCAAGACAGATCTCTCTAGGACATACCATTTGAACTGAGATCTGAATGACACAAATAAGCCAACTAAAAGGACATTTTGGGGAACAAGGCAAAAATTAAGAGGCAAGAACAAACTTGGGGATGTTTGAAGAACAAAAAGGAGGCAAGTGGTCTGGGAGCGAGTAAGTGAAAAAGTGGTATTAGGTGAGAGCAGAGTTGATGAGAAAATGAAGGACAAGAGAGACCACAGAAACAATTAAGGATTCTGTTCTAAAGGAAACAGGGATGTAACAGTATTCCAAAACACAACTTCAGCTGCTAAGTTGAGAATGGCAACACTGAGCAGACTACTATGGTGGTCCAGGCAAGAGATAAAGACAGTTTGATTAAGAGGTTGGTGAACCTGGGCCCTCAGCAGTGAGAGCCTGGAGTCCTAAACACTGGACAGCCAGGGAATTCTCCAAATTAACTTCTTTAACGCCATGAAACAGGAAGAGATCACTGAGGGAGACTATAGGTAATAAATGGGGTTAACAATCAAGAAGGAACTCCAGCATCTAAAACTACAGAAGAGGACTTCCCTGGTGGTACAGTAGATAGGAACCTGCCTGCCAAGGCAGGAGGCAGGGATTCGATCCCTGGTCTGGGAAGATCCCACAGAACAAACTAAGCTCCTGCACCAACTACTGCGCCCGCGGTCTGGAGCCTGCCAGCCACAACTACTGAGCCTGCGTGCTGCAACTACTGAAGCCCTCACACCTAGAGCCTGCGCTCTGCAACAAGAGAAGTTACGGCAACGAGAAGCCCATGCATTGTAACTAGAGAGTAGCCCCCACTTGGCACAACTGCAGAAAGCTCATGTGCAGCAACGAAGACCCAGCCCAACCAACAAAATAATAAAGAAATAAAATTTTAAAAAATAAAACTACAGGAAAAAGACTGTGATGTCACAGAACTCAGAAGAGAAGTTTCAAGGCAGGAACAGTCAACTGTGTTGAATGTTAGTCACTTAGTTGTGTCCGACTCTTTGCAACCCCATGGACTGTAGTCCACCAGGCTCCTTTGTTCACAGGATTCTCCAGGCAAGAATACTGGGCTTCGGTAGCCATTCCCTTCTCCGAGGGCTCTTCCAGACCCAAGGATGGAACCTGGGTTTCCTGCACCACAGGTGGGTTCTTTACCATCTAAGCCATCAGGGAAGCCTGTTGAATGTTACTAGAAGTAAATAAAGATGTGGGCAGAAATTAACTTCTAAGATTTAACATGATGGAAATTATGGGTCATCTTTACAGGAGTCATTTAAATAGTGTGTTATTAATGGACTCAACAGTTAACATGGCTTAAGTATAGAGGGTAAGACAAAGTATGATGTAAAATGAGGTCCACCATTATAGGTCACCTTTTGGATGTTAGCCTTTTTCCTGAGAGCAAAGAGAACCAATGAAGTGTTTAAATACAGTGGAGTTATATGATAGGATTTGTATTCTGAAATGACTACTTCGGTTAAAGTATTAACTGTGGAAAATGGATTAGACAGGAGCAAGAGTAGATACATAGAGGTTAGTTAGGAGATTGGTATAGCAATGCAGGTGAAAGATTATATATCTTCACATTTCCCAGAATTATGATTTACTTTGAACTTCAGGTTTGAGTACAATCATTAGCAATACAGCCAGCTTTCCCTCTGATAAAACAACCTGGATATACTATTAAGTTCCTTATAACAATGTGAATTTATCAGCATTAACTAGGTAATGAATCAAACAATTTAAGTATTACAAATGGAACCTAAAATGTGAATTTTGAAATATATCAGTCCTCTCTGTGTGTGCTAAAGAATCATCAATATAGGATCGAGTGCTTGGCTTTTAATATGGTAGACACTAGCCATATGAGGTTATTTTAGTTAAAATTAAATTTAAAATTTAGTTTTTTAGTTGCATGAGCTACATTTCAAGAAGTGCTCAAGAACCACATATTGCTAGTAGCTACCATATTGTACAGAGAAGGCAATGGCACCCCACTCCAGTACTCTTGCCTGGAAAATCCCATGGACGGAGGAGCCTGGTAGGCTGTGGTCCATAGGGTCACGAAGAGTCACGAATGAACGAATTCACTTTCACTTTTCACTTTCATGCATTGGAAAAGGAAATGGCAATCCACTCCAGTATTCTTGCCTGGAGAATTCCAGGGATGGGGGAGCTTGGTGGGCTGCCATCTATGGGGTCATACAGAGTTGGACACAACTGAAGCAACTAAGCAGCAGGAGCAGCAACCATATTGTACAGGACAAATTTCCACCATCACAGAAAATTCTACTGGACAGAACTGAATTCAAGATGATATACTGACAGTCTCTAAACTGATAGTGTACTTGTTCAGGAACTGCTGAGAATTGTAAGCTATTTTTAATTTAGGAAAAAAGATACTAGAAAAGTTCAAGGAGGGGAAAGGGAGTAAGACTTAGGAAGGAGTTTCAAAATTGCAAAAAGAAAAGGAAAAGAACTATTAACTAC